TGGGGCAATAAATCTTGAGAGATGCAAAGAATTATAAAGTCTAGATCTACACTCTCAAAACAAAATGCGCCTTGCGAAATATCACTTCCCGATTTTCTAAAATTACCGAGACAGAAGCGTCGGCCTACAAAAGCGATCGGCGAAATAAAGAAATTTAACTTTTTGCAGCAAAACTGTCTCAAAACAGAAAAAACCAAGGGCGTCATGCTCTGGAGAATACTTTAAAGAATATTTTGGCGAAAACCGTATGTCGATCAATCCAGCCATTCAAAAGCCTTTTGAATAGCAAAATTCGGCCACCACAAATAGATAATAGATTATATTTTAAAAATAAACACACTGCATGCAGTGCAGTATCTTTCTTAACCGTCAACACCCAGATACTTTGGTTGCCACTCTGCGACCGGTCGTCCATCTCTCCGAGTTGAGTCCAGCTGAACTGACCGACCTGTTCACCACCGTGCAGACTGTGTCCGAGGTGGTCAAGAAACACTTTGGGGCATCGTCGATGACCGTGGCTTTGCAGGACGGTCCAGAGGCTGGCCAGACTGTCAGAGTAGGTCTTTCTGGATGGGATTATGGTTTTTTTCCTTTTTTGTGGGGGGGGGGAGGGGGGGTTGGCTAATATAAGTCAGAAAAGAAACTCAGCAAAAAATTCCATTAGTTGACTATAAAGAAGATAATACTAATACTACTTATAATACTATAGTGCGGTCAAAAATTCGAGGTGCGACTCATTTTCAAATATCTCCTCTACTTTTGAACATAGGTTCTCCAATTTTTGCACAGTGACTTGTATCAATTTGTCTTAACAGATCAATATTTAAAAAAATACCTTCAAGCTGTATTCTAGAAAATTCCTTAATAAATACTAATAAAACATCCAAGTTGGTGGTTTCTACTGATTCTTAAATGTTTACAGCTGGGGCAATATAGCTTTTAATTGCAAGTCCGTCAGGTTTTTCTAATCGAGACATTATGCTTATTGACAGCATGTTTTGAGAGCCATTAGTGCAAAAATGTGTTCACTATAACAATAATTTCTTGTGACAAGTTTTGCAAGTAAAAATTGTCTTTGATGAGCTGTGACATAGGCTATATGCATAATCAAAATGCTGTGAACAATATACCATTTTACGCATGACAGAGATTTCCAGCATTTTATATAAATTTATGAAGAAAAGTTTTTTCATCTAGCCCCAATTGTTCTAGAAAAATATGATTTAGTTAAGACAAATTGATACAAACTGCTATGCAAAGTATGGATGACATTGATTCTCCCGTTAAAGAGATATTTGAGGATAAGTTGCACCTCAAATTTTTTACCGCTCTATAATGATAATACTAATACTAATACAACTACTACTAATAATAGTAATAATAATAATAATAATAATAATAATAAATAGCATTTGAATAGTGAATATCCCTGCTCGACAGCCAGCTCTTTGTGCTTTACACTATGTTATTACCCCTGTAAACCATAGAACTCTCAGAAACATTCTCAGCTTCCCGGGAAGCATACAGTGCAAGCAGCTCATTAAACGCTCAGACACTAACAACCTGACAAGTTATTTTGCTGAAAGATAAGGTATGGTCAGGAGACCGGCATGGATGGTATGCTGCTACCTGTGAACTCAAAAGAGCGGAGAAAAGGAGTACTTGTGGGTGGTTGGCGGGTGCTCTGGTGTGGTTTGCTCCTTCTTTCCTATCAAACATCTGTCGTCCCTATCTCTCCTTCTTTTTTGTGTACCTTTCTCTCTTGTAACACATCTATTCTTCAGCACTTATATGGCCTTATTATATTGCAAGTGCCGTACAGCTCTAACTAAAGAAAAAGAAGTACCTGAATAAAAATAAATATTAATCACTCATTGATCACTACCCAACATGATATCATGGAACAAGACACTCTCCCCCCCCCCCCCCCCCCCCCCTCCAAAAAAAATAAAAAAATAAAAATAAGAACAACAGTACAGTCAAACTTCATTTTGTCTTTTTGTGTTTCAGCATATCCACGTGCACATCCTGCCCAGAAAGAAAAAGGACTTTGAAGATAACGATGATATCTATGATAAGGTGAGTGAGATGACTATTAACGTCTTCTACTTTTTGGCACCATGAATTATAATAATAAAAAATAATAATAATAATAATTGCATTTATATAGCGCATATCCATCCTCAAGAGCATGCTCTATGCGCTTTACAACCATTATTACCCCAGCAGACCCTCTGAGAACGCTCAGAAACATTCTCGGCTTTTGCGGAAGCATACAGTGTAAGCTGCGGATTTCACGCGCTCAAACACTAACAAACTGACAAGATCGTTCACTGTCTATAGCCGGGTACCCATTTCCACCTGGGTGAAGTGAGGAAAATTTGTGCAAAGTGCCTTTCCCAAAGACACAACATCGAGCCCCTGACAAGATTCGAACCCATGACCTTACGGTTACGAGTCCGAGAGCCTAACCACTAGGCCACCGACGGCATTATAATAATGATTATAATGTTAGCAAGTGCCAAGATGTAACATCAGTGTCAGGCCCTGTCTTACGTGACAGTTCATAACAGCATATCGTTCTTTGAGAGCCAGACCCGCGTGTCATGATTTTGCCGAGAACATTTTTTTTTTCACCGATCGAAAGCGCATGTCATGGGCTTCATTTCTGTATAAGTTTCATTGAGTTCCCCGCCTTAACATTGCTATAAAATGCTTATAGCTGTATCATTTATCATAGCCGTTTGCTTCCAAATTAGCTAATCTTGAGATGTGCGGAATGGATTTCAATATTGTTACAATTTGGATGACGCAACAAGAATTACAACAGAACTGACAGTAAAGCCAAGAATTCCTAAATCGTGTATCATATGTTACGCTTTTAGGGCTTGATCGTTTCCGGTGTGTTGGTCATTCATACATACCTGTCTACATTAATCCGTTTTCTGTTCCTCCTGAAAAATTTGCTGAAACCTTGATTAAAAAAACGTGGAAGTGGCTGTTATAGGATGATGTGGATGGAGTTTTTTTTTTTTCTTTTGGAAAGTGTTTTACGCCGCTCACAACTGGATAAGGTCAAATGAGCATGCGGGACACATTCAACTTTTTCAGTCGGTAGGAAATGTTGAATTTTGTTAGATGGCGGCTGAAGCCTACTCTTATCGATTTTAGACCACCAAGGGATCTTTAACACAAGATTTTTCGCCCTTGTCCGAGAAGGCTAGGTATAGATCTTTCCTACCAGAAGATCAGGGGTGCAGCTGAAAGACAGCAGTAAGAAGGAGCCAAGGAGTAGCAGTAGAAAGGCTGCAGAAAGAGTTAGGAGTCCAGAGGAGGGGCAAAGGAGGTGAGGGGGTGGCGCAGGAAGAGGAGACGAAAGCAGACGACAGAACATTGCTAGAGAGCAGTAAAGGAGGTGAAAGGAGACTATTCTAGAGAAGAAAATCTTTTCTGTCGCTACCCGGATTCAAACCCGGAACCTTTGAATGAGAGGCGACACCTTAACCTCTAGGCCCAGTGAGCCCCCTAGACCCTGTCTTATGTGACTGTTCATAACAGGGTATGATGGAATCTTACCTCAAGCAGTGGATATGTGCTGCGACGTGATGGAATCAGGCGCTTGTCAATTTTTGGGCATATGGGGTTATTGGTATCATGATCATCTTAAAGCCTGTTTATTTGCCTTGCTTTTGGTGAAAAAAATATCCGTCTATGTTGAATAGAAGTCGAAATATTTGAGATTGAAGGAGGTCAGATGACCCATCAGACACACGCCCTAACACACGAATACCTCCTTCAGGGAGATGAGAAGCCGTTCTGTGTGATTTTACCATTAGACACATTTTAACCGAATGTCTAGACTTCGGAGAGACCCGAAGGAAATACTTTAAAAGCTCAAAATTACAAAATATTTTTTCTGTCGTTGTTCCCAACAGAATTTTTGATTTTATAAAGGCCATTGTCTTTATAGAAAGTTATGAAACAGATTGCTAGAAATTTTTTTAATGTTATTTAGAAAGTTGTTTTAAATTTAGATTTAAATTCTATTTACACTCGATTTTTAGTGTTTAAAAATTTTTTAAATAGAAATATTGACCAGTATCAAGCCGAGAAATGAACCATTGAGAAAAAAAACAACTTGTTTCGCGCACTCATATTACCTTATGCTGTTGCGAGCGCCGTAAAACCCTTACTAAACTAAAACTTTGTCTCTAACTCAAGCTGAATTCAGTTTGTTTGTCATGAAATGGCATTATTGTGAAAGCATAATAATAATTTGTCCATTTCCAAAACTACTACAAAATAATGTGATGATTACCTCTCAGATTCAAAACCACGACAAAGGCTGGACGGCTGAGACCCGTTTTCGCAGCGAGGAGGAAATGGCTGAGGAATCCAAGCAACTCCGACAATACTTCTGTGACAGCTAACGCATCACTTGCTTCTTGTTGAAGATAGTCTTGTTCACCTATCGAATGACTTGCCAGAGTGAATGTTTGTATGTATTAAGCTGCTTTGGGCACCAGGCACGGGGCTGGAAGGGTTAAATGTTTGTACAGAGATTTGGGAGGACGCAAGAGAAACAGAGTGCAGAATCTCGGTGGGTGATATCTTTGCACTCATTGCATACAACAGACTTTTTTCTTTCCAGCACTTTTCTTTTCTACTGATCCTGACCTCATAGGACCTAGAGTGCTGAACCATAAAGCACAAAACCATTGTTTCAACTTCTGTTAAATACCTGGATATCGGGAGATGTCATCTCTCACTCAGAGGTTGACGTGTAATGACCCTCCATCCTTCACGGTTGTGAGCTGCCGTTGTTGCACATTCTGCCATATCCAGGCCAGTCCGTGTTTTTATGTTGTCCTTCCAAGTTACACTTTGTTTTCCCCTTGCTCTCCCACCCCACATCCTTCCTTCAAGCACCTCTTTCACAATGGTCTTGTGTAGTTTTATGTGGCCACAGTATTGTATTTTCCTCAATTTTATTTTATTCAGCAGCGTTTGAACCGAACTGAGCCAAACAATAAAAATTATGAAGTTTCATGTTGTTTTCTACAGTGACTACTGGCTTGGTTGGCCTCTATGTTTTACATAAATTGTATTTCTGAAAAAATGAATTCATCAAACTTTTTTGATAAACAGTTTGAAGAGAAATAATGGAAACAATTGAGTCTTTGGCAAGAATACTCATCTATACCAGCTTTGAATGTTTTTTCTGCGGGAACCTGTCTTTATTGCATGTTTACGTTTATTCCAATATATATGTTTTCACAGCAAACCTATCTATAGCAGATGTTTACTTTTTTTCCGGTGGCGTGTGACGTAGTCAGCTTTGAATGTTTCTCAAGGGAACGTGTCTCAACCAGACGGTAGTGTTTATTCCAGTGACAGGATTTATACTTAAGAAATGAATGCTTTCATGAGATTTTTGTCAATCATATGTTTTTATGTTTATGCATATGTTTATGTTTATTCCGATAGCCGGCGGTTTGGTCCGGGAAGCCTTCTAATTCTAAAGTAGACATGAATGTTCATCATACCAGTGGAAGATACTTGGTTTTGTATCTTATATCCACACTGTGAGTGCAACAAATAGTGCGTGTAGTTGTCAACTGTAAAAGATGCTTTTCACTGTAGTCTCAATGAGAATGTTATCACTGAAATCACTTTCAACTTTCCATTTTCAGATATAAATGAAATGATTCTTCAGGACGCAAGTTTTAACAAGCAATATATTGTTTTCAGTATGGTTACAAGGTTTTGATAGAATTTTGATGACAATGAAAACAGATGAAAATTAATAAAGAATGAAAGACATTGCGAATTTGATGGGTTTCCTTTTTATTATTGATACATATTTTCATTACATGTGTTTTAATATCACTTCACAAACAATTTGTGCTTTCGGAAATTACGTCAATATAAGTATCGATTTGTTTTCAAATGGGGAAAAAAAGTTTTTAAAAATTTTTCATGGGTAGATATATGTGATTCCTCCCACCCGACTTGACGTACGTATTCAAATAAATCAGGAAGAGATGTGAAGGAAGAAGTCTTAGTACTGTACAATTCGATAGCACGCTACTTCAGAATCACAAAGTTCTATCTGCTCAGTACCTAATTTTGAGAAATTTGATGCAAAAAATTTGCAGTTTCACATCATGTCAAGCTTTTTCGAATGCAATTCTTAGAATTTCTTCATAACGACTCCGAATAATCTAACGATTTTGAAAGAGCAGATAGAACATTTGGTTTCTGACCTCATGTTCTTTTATAAGTGACTTAAAACGGCCCAAAATGTCAGATAGAACTTTGTAATTCTGAGGTAGCGAGCACCTGGCTGCTGCTCAGCTGTTAGATCTAGCTATGTGGAGTTGATTGACATTCAGAAATAACAAGTTTGAATTGAAATCTGACTCTGGTCTGAATTTTAAGCTTCCTTCCCGGAATATTTCCCCACAGGCCATTCTTTATCCTGACAGGAACGAGTGATCAGCCTTCCTTCCAAATGGCTGAGGACAAACCACGCATTTTTTGGTCAAGTCTGTTTAGATAAATGGTTTTGAAAAATATATCAACATAAAAGTAAATGACTTGGTCTACATTTTATATATATATGTGTAAACAGCAAGGCAAGATTCCCGACACCAGTCTGACATAAATTTCTACAAGGGCAAAAATTACACAAACACATGTAAAGGTCTCTTTTTCAGTTCAGTAATTCTCAACAATGTCCATTCAGTTTCAACCACTCAGATGTATGATTGCACAGCATGAAAACACACAAGTATAACTTGGGATCTTGAAGGAAAAAAATGATGACAGTGATAGTAATAGACTCTTTTGATTTTTACTGCCTTTTGCGAAGGGAATGTTGTGGTATCACGCTGAGATTGAATCTTGTTGAGAATACTTTTACTTTCGCGGACAGACAGATATCACGCTGAGATTGAATCTTGTTGAGAATACTTTTACTTTCGCGGACAGACAGATATCACGCTGAGATTGAATCTTGTTGAGAATACTTTTACTTTCGCGGACAGACAGATATCACGCTGAGATTGAATCTTGTTGAGAATACTTTTACTTTCGCGGACAGACAGATATCACGCTGAGATTGAATCTTGTTGAGAATACTTTTACTTTCTAGGACAGACGGATATCACGCTGAGATTGAATCTTGTTGAGAATACTTTTACTTTCTAGGACAGACAGATATCACGCTGAGATTGAATCTTGTTGAGAATACTTTTACTTTCTAGGACAGACAGATATCACGCTGAGATTGAATCTTGTTGAGAATACTTTTACTTTCTAGGACAGACAGATATCACGCTGAGATTGAATCTTGTTGAGAATACTTTTACTTTCTAGGACAGACAGATATCACGCTGAGATTGAATCTTGTTGAGAATACTTTTACTTTCGCGGACAGACAGATATCACGCTGAGATTGAATCTTGTTGAGAATACTTTTACTTTCTAGGACAGACAGATATCACGCTGAGATTGAATCTTGTTGAGAATACTTTTACTTTCGCGGACAGACAGATATCACGCTGAGATTGAATCTTGTTGAGAATACTTTTACTTTCGCGGACAGACAGATATCACGCTGAGATTGAATCTTGTTGAGAATACTTTTACTTTCGCGGACAGACAGATATCACGCTGAGATTGAATCTTGTTGAGAATACTTTTACTTTCTAGGACAGACAGATATCACGCTGAGATTGAATCTTGTTGAGAATACTTTTACTTTCTAGGACAGACAGATATCACGCTGAGATTGAATCTTGTTGAGAATACTTTTACTTTCTAGGACAGACAGATATCACGCTGAGATTGAATCTTGTTGAGAATACTTTTACTTTCTAGGACAGACAGATATCACGCTGAGATTGAATCTTGTTGAGAATACTTTTACTTTCTAGGACAGACAGATATCACGCTGAGATTGAATCTTGTTGAGAATACTTTTACTTTCTAGGACAGACAGATATCACGCTGAGATTGAATCTTGTTGAGAATACTTTTACTTTCTAGGACAGACAGATATCACGCTGAGATTGAATCTTGTTGAGAATACTTTTATTTTCGCGGACAGACAGAGACTTTTTTGTTTGACACTTACAGTACCGAGGGCTCATATTATTATAGTGAAAAACCCCCTCAAGTACCGCTGAAGCCATGGTAGAATCTTTTTAAAACTAAAAAAAAGACCTTCACAGCCCAATAAATACATTTAAAAATTCACAGAGCTTCATCAATCATTCAGCTATCATATAGAGTGACTTTCTTCACAGTCCAAGAAACGTGTTTAAAAATTCACAGAGGTTCATCAACCATTCTGCTATCATATATTTATATATAGAGTGACTTTCTTTGGTATTTACTTCAGTGCAGTGGCTCCATTCAATATTTAATTATATCTAGTCTGCCTGGTCGAGTCGGCAACTTAAGTCCCCGTTGTTTTATGCGAGAACAATTCTGAAATTATGCAAACTGAGCCCAAAAATGTGAAATTATGCGATTCTGTTAATTTTAACAAAGA